ACACTGTATTTCTCTTTCTTTCTGTCCTGAACTGTGTGATACTGTTGCTGTTCTCTGTTAAATAACTGTCAGGTTCCACCCTAGAGGTGATGGCATTTCACTGTGGAGTGAACTGATTCCTATATAGTTAACTCTTAATTTAAATCTGTGGTAGAGATCATCCTCGAATCAAGGGGCTGCTGCTGCTGCTGAGTTAACTCCTAAAGAGCTTTAAGATTATGTTGGATAAAAGAGGTTCACCCAAGTAAGATGAGCATTTTTTCAAAAAGCTCATCAATCAGCAAGAATGAAGATCGGCTAGCATGAAATCCTCCCCGTCCTTGCAGCAGAGCATGCAGATAAAGTATGTTTCCTTACAAATTCTTGCACATGCTGAAGGGATTGAAAGGTCCCTTTGTCAGCCCACTCACTCATGACTGATTTCCCCCTGTAACACTTCCCTTGTGATAAATATTGCATTACAATAGATAGCAGTTAGAAAGAGATACGGTTACTTTGTTACAACAGTGGCTGGCACTGGCAGGCAGTTGACCACTACACCCGGAGCTTTCAGGGTATGTCTACATTGCATCTGGGATGGAGCCTCCCAGACTTGAAGTGGTGCAGCTCCTGCTACTGCGCTAAAAATAGCTGTGTATATGTTGTAGCTACTTTTTGAGCACACTAGTGCAAGCCCCACCATCACAAGTCTGTGGGGCCACGTGGGGAGGTTCACTTCTAGATGCAATGTAGACATACTCACAGGCACAGATAAAGAACTCAGTGAAGGAGTAGAGAAGGAATGAAAGTAGAAGAGGTAAGGAAGACAAATGGAGAGGTGCAGAACTTGAGAGGGGGCAAAGACAGGAGAGAAACAGCAGCAGAAAACTGGTGAAAGGGGGGCAGAAAAGACAAACAAGAGGGAGACCAAAAGGCATGCTGTTCCAAACCAGCGCCTCACATCAGCTGGACAGATTAGCCACCGAGGACAGGCAGAAAACTGTTCCCAGAAAGGTTGATTCAGATGTTGGTGAAGCAGAAGCAGCATCAGGAGAGACTGAATCACTGGACCCATGGTTGGGAAAACAATCAGCAAAACTGAAAGAAAAAAGACAATGAGAATGTTAAATAAGAGGATGAGAGCAGAGGCACCACAGAGGCTTAGTGGTAGCAAGGGATGAATTACCATCCATTCTATTGCTCCCTGAGCCAGGTATGTTGTGGAAGCAGCATACTCAGCCTATGTAAAATTTGCCTGTCTAAAGAATGGTGTTGATATGCTCCAAAATACTGTCCAGATCTGATCGATCCTTCGATTGAAATATAGAATCTCAAGACTGGGAAGACAATTTTGAAATAGGGAGGTGATTTGATCCTAAGGGCTGTCATGGGGATGGCCTTGCTGGTATGTGTAGTGTAAAGTAAGTCTGTCACCATTTTTTAATATCTTTTATTAAAATGCTTCCAGACTGCATCTATTTCCCCCCCACACTTCTTCAAGATAAAAGCACTTCATCTACCACTGCCCTGACTTTCTTGCTAACTTTGAGGAGTAAAATTGTGTGAAGATTTTAATCTTTATCCTTAATGTCTTTGCAAACTGCTGGAGAACACTCCTGAAAGATCAAAAGGCCTAAAGGCTACATACTTTTTCAGAGACAATGGGTATGTCTACACAGCAAAGAGAAACTTGCGGCTGGCCTGTGCCAATTCGGGTTCGTGGGGCTCAGGCTGCGGGGCTGTTTAAGTGTGTGTAGGCTTCTGGGCTTGGGCAGAGGCCCAGGCTCTAGGACTCTGGTAGATGGGAGGGTCCCAGAGCTCAGGTTCCAGCCTGAGCCGGAAGTCTACACAGCAATGAAACAGCCCCGCAGGCCGAGCCCTGTGAGCCGAATTGGCTGCCATGGGCTAACCGCGGGTTTTTCTTTGCTGTGTAGACATACCAATGTTGCCAAACCTAAAGCCACTGGAGTCTGTTAATGGGGTCCACCGCCGGGGGCAGTGTGTTTGTTTTTGATCATGCCTCAGGTCCATATGTTACGCAGTACTGGCTGCGACATAACTGAGAGCTTGATATCTCTAGGGAACTGGGGTGTTCTTTCCTTTATATTGGGCACATTAGCTCCATTATCCTCCAGTTTAACTGGAAACCTCTGTTCGCTTAATTTGCCTTTCTTAATTTCCCCAATGCATATATCATTTCTGGATACATTACCTATTTCTCTTCCTCTTCTCTGACACAGCCTCTGAACCAACATAATATAGAGTTTGAATGGAAGAGAAGGTGGCATGTTAAATCCTGGAGCAAGGTGTTCCAATTGAATGGGTTTGCAGGAGCCCCAGATTGCTTCAACTGTCTCTGTTCTTCTGGAAATAAATGCAACTAGCAAACTTGAAAATAGCAACTGCCATCTGAATCCTTGAGCCATGTTCCTTTGCTGCCCTCTACTGCAGGGCTCAGTATAATTCCTCTAAATTGTCAGAAAAAAAGAGCAATCTTATATTTCCTCTGAGAGGCTGCCAGTCAAAGCAGGACTTGAAACCCAGGAAAACACTGAGAACTCAAAAAAGAAAGAGATGGTAGGTGATGTTGAGAAGTAACAGAGTAAGAAAGGGCATTAGTTACAGGACAACCAGCTCTAGTAGCGTCAATATGAAATATCAGCTAAATCAGACACCAACCTAAAAGATGGCAACTAAAAGCCACATTTTCAGGGCCTCAAAGAACAATGACAGAACCATCCAGAACCTTTTAAAAGTCAACTTTAAAGAGATATTGTCAGATACTTTAGGCCTCATGCTGTTTGTTTTTCTGTTGTTGTTATATATTTTGCATACATTTACAAAACCCAATCTTAAATGGAAACAGTTTCCATGACTTTCTTAAATATAAATGAAAATATGCTTATTTAGATTTAAAGATCATCTGTCTGTATTGCAAGTGCAGGGAAACTAGAAAGTGAAACTGACTAGGAACAAAAACCTTTTATGTGAAGTCTAGTTTCATGATCCAAGCCAAAAGCATTGAAAAAAGTAAGCCTCAGAAAGGATATAGTAATCCAGGCCCTGATCTTGCAATCTGAGCTGCATGAGTGCACCTTTATGCCTGCATAGTATCACCCTGAAGACAATTAACTTCCACACGGATGCAGGAGTCCAGTTATAGAATTGCAACCTTAGGCCCCAGATTCTTTTAGTTTTAATAATTTAGGATGATAGTTATTATTTGTATGTTGACTGCATAATCATACAAAAAAGCCTAAACCAGAATGTTTCTAACAGGTGTTGGGTTTTTTTTTTTGTGATTAAGCATGATGGTTTCTCTCATTTGCTTCATGCAACACCTCCATTTGTTTGGAAAAGTTAATACAAAGGAAGGGGTTTTTTTTTGTTTTTGTTTTAAAAAAAACACCTTTAGATTTTAAATTGATTTTTATTAGCATTAGACATTATATCATCACTTGTTATACCAACAGGTACACATCTGAAGTTATCTTAATATATTCAGCTTTACATCTCAGAGTAACACAGACCTACAACAGTCTTTATTATTAATTTAAGCACTGATCATCTGTAAGCCTGTGCAGAGTCAAGCTCTTTATTAATTAAACACACACTTTCTACTGGCTATAGGCCCTCAACCAAAGCCTACCAAAATCAGTTAAAGCCCTTCCATAGACTTCCATGCACTTTAGATCAGGCCCAAAGAGTATACCACCCTAAATAGTCCTATTGGGGTAGGATGGCTGCTCTAGTGGGATAAAGTACTCAATTGGGACCTTAGATCTGGGATAAATTCTCAGATCAGCCACAGCCCTCCTGTGTGACCTTGGGCAGGTCACATAATCTACCCAGTGCCTCTGATCCCAATCTCTAAAATGGAGGTAGTACTTTCCTGTCTCACAGGGGGATATTCTGAAGAAAGAAGTCCATTAATGACTGTAACATTCAAATACTACAGTGATGAGAGCAATATAAGTACTTAAATTGAAGTCAATGGACCATGCCTTATAGTGTTTGCAGAATCAAACTCAGACAATTTTTGTCCCAGAGATCTTGAATCTGTTACCCCAGAACTGTACTTCCTCACATCTTAATACAATGCTTTTAAAACTGTTCTTTGCAGTCCTCCAGCTTTATTTAATATTTTTTTTTCAAAATATCACTCTGCCCAAATCTAGTTCAAGAGAAATAAAAAACAAATAGGCTCTCCCACAATTTTTTCTTACCAAGTTGTTTTTTGTTACACACATCCAGTAATGACACGAACTGAAAAAAATATAAAATATTCAAACATCAGCAAAAGCTTTTTTTGTATTATTTGCAACTCTTTTTCTGCACCTATTTCTTCTGTACTTTTGGTTTGCTGGCAGGGGTTGTGGTGGAAAGCTGGTCTGACTTGCTTTTACAGGGAGCAGAACTGGGTCATTGCCACTCTCCTCAGCATGCTGTTCTCATATATCCTACACTATTATAGATAATGCAAGAAAATCTGAGTTGTCTTTGCTATTAAAGCACCCCTTTTCTTTTTGTAGCTGTTGTCCTCTTGCTGACTTTCTTTACAGATTGATTGTAGAGCTTAATATTTTCCCCTGAAAGATAAGTCTGCCATTCTCCCATCGCCCCCTCCCCCCGCAAAGACAAAAATATAACATTTTCAAGCCAGTGCAAATTACTAGTGCCCCACGTGGGGTTAGTAAAGCATTCGTGCAAGAGGACAGAGCCTAAATAAAAAGAGGTGCTATCTCTCTCTCTTTTTACAGCTTAGCCGGGTGGGCCAAAAGTCGAGGTGGGTGAGTGCCTGAAGTCAGGCATCTAAAATGCACAGCGCAGGAATGATCTCGCAGGGGCTGGGCACCTGCAGCTCCCATTGGAGTCAGCAGCAGAGAAAGGTGCTCAGCCTGCGAGGACATCTGCAGTCGCACGCCCTGCCCCCGTCCTGCATGGGCTGGGCACTCTCCCTCTCGTTCTTCCTGCTGCAGCCGTTCTAAATCGATCGCGGAGCAACGGATCAGTGCCGGAATCGATGCCATCGCCGTTCCTCCCCTTCCCTTGTCCTCGCCTCTCCCCGGGGCACCTGCACGCGCCCGTCCTAGCGCCAGGCCCCGCAGCAGCAGGGAACGGAGTCTCAGGTACCCCGGCGCGAGCGCCCCGCTCCCAGCCCGCCCGCTCGCTCGCTCTCCCTTCCCGTGCTTGGTGCAGGGGGCGCTGCACGGGCAGCTGCTACTTCTGCTTCCTAGGCTGAAACTCACGTGCTCCGCAGCCCCCGCTATTGCTGCTGCCTCCAAGGCGCCTCTTGTCACCCTTTGCTTCCCTACTCCCCCCCAATGGGGTACAGGCTCCTAGGGGAGAAAGCCCCCCTCACACCTCTGCCTCCTCTTCTCACTTCTGCCTTTCAGATCTAAACGTGGAGTCCCCTCCCAGTTTGCTAGCCGAGTTTGCAGCTAAAAGCAGCTGTTTCGGCTCAGCAAATAGAGGATGCTCGTGATTCCTGCTTCCCTGTTCCTGCCCCTCTCTGCGTTGGCGCCGTGTGGCGAAATGTATCAGGTCTTTAGCCAGATGTGCCTGTGGCTTAATCCCCCTCTCCCATTGAAACGGGCTCGCCCTGCGTGCTGCAAGTTACCCGCAATTCAGCCTACAACGCTTTTAAAGCTGTTTGTTTATTTCTTTGGAAAACAAACCTTGGTCTGTACATTTCCTCTGCTCAGAGTAAACGTGAACTGTGCTTTTTCAAGAATATGCCAATAAAATAAGCGAGGTTTAATTGACAGCTGAGGTTTGCAAGAACTTGGAATCTTTTTAACCCACCGTTTTCTGTGTTTTTTGTTTTTTAAAAGCAGAAAGTTAATAAGCTATGGAACGCGTGTTTACTCCGCTGGAATGTCTGCTTCCCACTGGTATTGTACCTCTTCTTACTATTTAAATCTCTTTCAAGAGTCTTTACCCTGCAAATAAGTATATTTTGTGTGCACAACATTAAGAATTGCGTTCTTGGTTTGAAGGACAGCTCAATTATCATCTATTATTTTGAAAGGTTAATATATAAGGCCTAACATTCCCCTTCATTTGTTGCTAGTAGAGCCAATTCAATGCCATTGTGATGGGAATCAGTTTAAGTTTTAACTTAAACTGAAATAAGAGTGTGCGCACACATGAGTTTACACTGGATTAACTATATCCCTTTCAAATCATATTCTGTTAAAGTGGTGCAGTTTATCCAAGGCCTCTGGCTATGTTTATATTATAAAGTTGCATTGGTTTAATTTAATTTTCTTTTAAGCCGACTTAGTTAAACCAGTGCAAATTCCTGTGTGAACACTCTTATTTCAGTATATTTCAAACTGATTCCTAATCCATTTAAACTAAATGGAAATAAGATAAATGATTTGAACTGTAATAGTGTTCACACAGGGATTTGCACTGGTTTAACTAAATCAGTTTAAAATGCCACCTTGCATCTGAAGAAGTGAGGTTCTTACCCACGAAAGCTTATGCTCCCAATACTTCTGTTAGTCTCAAAGGTGCCACAGGATCCTCTGTTGACCTTTAGTTTAGTTGGTGAAATTTTCTTATGTAGACAAGGCCTAAAGCTGATGAGGAGGCTGGCCTGAGGCGATATGTACCCAGTCAATATGTGGATAGTTGAAATCCCCCATTATTATTGAGTTTTTTATTTTAATGGCCTCTCTAATCTCCCTGAGCATTTCACAGTCACTACCACCATCCTGGTCAGATGGTGGGTAATATGTCCCTACTGCTATATTCTTCTTCTTAGAGCATGGAATTACTATCCATAGAGACTCAATGGTACAGTTTGATTCATTTAAGATTTTTACTTCATTTGATTCTACACTTCCTTTCACATGTAGTGCCACTCCCACACCAGCGCAACCTGTTCTGTCTTTCCGATATATTTTGTACCATCTCCCCTTCCCCCACATCTCCCCTCCAACTCACACAGTGGGCCTCACCTAGTTCATCTCAATGTAAAACTACAGTGCTTTGTCTCCACTCGGATTTTGCAGCAGGATAGCTAAGGTCATCCTGTCATGGAAAACACATTTATTTTGGCAGTGAAGGCATAGCAAATGGTGATATTTAAAATGTCAGTGGCAGGCATCAGTTAATGCTCCATTGCAATGAATGGGAGGGGAAAAGTACTCAGTGGCTCCATTGCAATGAATGGGAGGGGGAAAGTACTCAGTGGCTCTCCAGCTTTTTCTGAGGCACTCTGTCTCTGCAGACAGTATTCCATTGATTTACATTTGTTTCACATTTGGAAAGTTATTTTTGCAACCAGGGGGCCTAGATACTTTTTTAAAAATGAAAACTTAGATTCTGCAGCACAGCTATGTGGCGTGGGGTAGATTGTATACATAACCGTTCAAGTGTGATACAGCAAATGCACAGGGCTCATAACAGTTTATGTCACATTACAGTTTGTGAAATCATTTAAAAAGCAGCTCTGTTTTCTTTTTTTAAAAGATCAAGGGCCTTCTACAGTGTACCACCCTTTGTTTCCCTCCTATGGTTTGTTTATAACCTTTCCGTGCAGGTTGGTGACCTTGGTGTTGTGCCTAGATTACCCATTGTGGTTTCTGCAGTGAGACTAGTCTTACTAAACTTTAACTACAGTGGACTTTGAGAGCTCCATACCATGCCTTTGTCTCCTTAACATTGGGGTGCTGCTGTATGTTTTAGACAGGCCTGCACCTGATTAGTACTTGGAATCTTGGGTAGTAGGGTATGCTAGGTCCACTTACTCAGCAGTATTGCTAATGTGGAGCATTGTATGCCATAATCTACACTGGATTTCTGTTTGTTCCCACGTGTAATTCAAACTTTACTTTTTGATGTACAAAAGCCCTTTCATCTACAGCGTAAATGTTGACCTTATTTAGTTTTAAGAGGGCCCCGATACAACTTCTGTCATTTCATAACTTCTGCCAGATGAGGAGGATGAAAGAGAGAGACACATCTTCCATTGCTCAAGTCCACCAGCAAGGTAGCTCCCTGGTGGCTTCCTTATCGACCCTCCTGCAGAGGGGAAGGCTCTGCATAGCAGAGAATCCTCTTGCCTTGCTCTCTGTATGCTGGCCCACAAAGAGTTCCATGAAACTATTTCTCACATCATGTGGGGAGTGTGAGCCATTTGTGGGGGCTGTCTCCCTTATATCCTATTCCCCATACCCACTGTGCATCAGAACCACACAAGTTCCAGGGGTGGTAGTTGGGGCTTGGATTTGATTCCTTCAAAAGAGGATGTATTCTTTGATAGTCTCTTTACCCTTTTCATCAACTTGAATGGGCTTTGAGGTTTTATCAAGATGATTATTTTAAGTACCTTTTAAAACTTAAGTTTATATGGGCTACATTGATGTTATAGTTATTTCACTGGTGTCTGGAATCACATTGACTCCAGTTAAATGAGCCAAAGCTGTTTCAGCTTTAAAAGAATATCGCCAGGTAACTGTCTGTAAAGCTGAAATGTCCATTTATTGCAGGTAACCCTTTGCATCCTTCCCCGCCCCTTTCCCGCCCCCTCCATTTGAAACTAGAGCTTTTGTTCTGTTAAAGCAAGGTCACCTGTATGTCACAAGCGAGCCACAGGAGAGAATAAAAAGTGTTTCACAATTATATAGCAGTATAGTTGTTTCTGTACACAGGAACTATGAAGTTATGCATTAAATTTAAGGGAAGGAGAGCAGGAGGAAGCAACAGTGCAACCTAACTGCTCTTCCATACAGCCACAAGACTTTAGGTCTGGTCTACACAACAAAGTTAGGTTGACATGAGGTGCCTTGCATCAACCGAGTTGTGCATATGTCTAAACTAAAATTTGTCTCCCAATGATATAAGTGTCCCGTTATACTGACGTAGTAACACCAGCTGCCTGAGAAGCATTGATCCATGGGTGAAATACCGAGGTCGACATAGCTTGAGTGTGGATGCTACATTACTTATGTCGACCCTAATAGAACCTCGAGCAGCTGTCCTGCAATGCCCAGCACTGACTGCTCTGGTCACAATTGTGAACTGCACTGTCCAGAGGTCACAGAGACTGGAAAGTCCCCCTCCTCTGTAAAGCCCTGCACATGTTTAAAATGCCTTTCCCTGATTGGCCAGTTTGGCAAGCATACCGAGCTGCTCTCCATGCTTGCATACAACTGCTTAGCTGACCATGCTGGCCACATGCTCTCTAGCTTGGAGTAGACAGGAAATATTGGTTCTCCTGGGCCTGTGGGGAGAAGAAGCTGTGCAAGCACAGCTATGGACCAGCCATAGAAACATCAGCATCTATGAGCAGCTTGCACGCGGAATGCAGGAGAAGGGGGTACAACAGAGATCAGCAGCAGGGCTGCGTGAAAGTGAAGGAACTGCAGCAGGCATATCAGAAGGCCAGTCTATCCTGCTGACCACAGTGGATACTTTCAAGAAGCCCAAACCACAGGTCCCTGGCCTAAACAGCAAGGAGGAGGTGGAGGAGGAAGGAGAGGAGGATGGGGGACATGCGACCAGGGAATCTAGCTATGTCATGAGCCAGGACCTGTTTGAGACTTTACCACTGTCTAATCAGCCCTGGTTGTCAAGCGTGGGTAAGCCCAGTGCAGGGGAAGGAACCTCAGGTAAGTGTGTAATTGTATTTCCCGTTACAATGATGTACTGATGGCAACCCCAACTTAGCAGGACACAGCTATTGACTTTTCATTGATTTGCTCCTACTAACTAGAAGAGGTAGCGGTACAACAAAGAGGTAGAGTTGTTATCGGCTTTCCATTCCCTTGTAGAGTTAGGGAGCGGAGGCCACGAGGAGCAGTTTGTTTACATGCACAGGTATGTCCCTTGAATCCTCCTGAGAGATCTCAATGAAATTTTTATGGAGGTACTCTGCAGTCCTCTCCCAAAAGGTCTAGAGAGGGCTGTCTTATTTCTTCCTCAGCAGTAGGACACTTTCCCACGCCAGTCAACGATAACTTCAGCAGGCACCACTGCAGTAGACAGGTGAGCCGCACACGGGCTCAGGCAGCTTTGGGATGCCAGCAGCAGCTGTGTTCTCTATGCCTTTGTTACCTTCAGGAGTGAGATACCAGCTAAAATCACGACCACCTGTGGAAAATGGTGACAGTACTCAGTGCTATTGCCCTATACTGTACCTATAGTTTCATGCAACTGAGCAATTCCCTCCCCATCAGTCAGTGCTTGTTTTTCGGGCCCAGAAGTGGCACTCCACCAACACACTTGAATTGGTTCTTTCTATGTGCCACGGTGATCTGTTCTTCAAGAAATCATCATGTTCCCCACTGACTTGGTTCTTTTTGTGGCTCTGCAAATACTGGAGGATCATGCGTCCTATGCTTGCAATGCTTATGACAGTAGTGCAGAGCTGTGCAGGCTCAATGCTTCTGTCAGAGATGGCGGACAGCGAGGAGGGCTATGCGGGTTTGTGGGATTTTTGAAAAAAGCGCAAAAATTGTGGGCTATAGATGACATATTAATCAATTAGAAATAGAAACTGTTTCTGCTGTCCCCTGTTTTTTGGTTCCGCCTGCTTTTGGAGAAGCAGGACTTTGTACATGCTTTGTAAATAAATAAGATTACACCCAAGACAATACCAGACTTCATCATTGATTTCTACTCCAAACTGGACTATTCCCTGGACCCTGAAATTTGACTAGCCACTTGTCACTTAAACTTTGCTCTATAAGTGTATTATATAACCTGAACCCCCTAATGTTGTGTGTAGTCAGGGGTAAACTATTTTCTGACAGAGAAAAGAGTTACTATAAATCAGTGGTTCTCAACCTGCGGCCCAGTCAGCACACGGCTGCGGCCCATGTGACATCTTCAGGGCCATACAGGTAGTATTGGATGCTGCCCACAATGGTGAATAGGTTGA